CCACATTTAATTTATCCATTCATTAACTAATAGGCATCTATGGCATTTCTACTTTCTGGCTATTATAACACTGTTATAAACACTGATGCACAAGGTTTTGCATGGGTATCTGCTTTTAGTTTTCTTGAATATATACATAGGAGTGGAATTGTTGGATCACACAGTAACAACATGCATAACTTTTAAAGGAACTGCCAGACTATTTTCCCGCCAGCAGTGCATGAAGGTTCTAATTTCTTCACATCCTTGCCAATACTTGTTATTTTCTGTCTTTTTAAATATAGGCATCCTAGTGAGTATGGAATAGTATTTTGTTGTTTTTAATTTGTATTTGCCTGACGTCTAACAACATTGAATATCTTTCCACAGTGGATTTATTTGCTATTTGTACATCACAATCCTTCCAACAAATAATAACAGAGAATCCACCAGGTACCAGGCACCATTCTAAGCAGTGAGATGGTGGTGAGCAAGAGAGAAAAGGATCATGAATCTTACATTTTAGTAGGAAGAAACAGATAACAAATATGTACCATGTAAATCACAATATGACAAGTATTTTGGCTGGGCACAGTGGCACATGCCTGTAATCCCAGCATTTTGGGAGGCTGAGGTGGAAGGATCACTTGAGGCCAGGAGTTCAAGACCAGCCTGGGCAACATAGTGATTTATCCAAAAAAATTTTTTTTAAAAAGTCAGGCATGGTGGCTCATGTCTGTAGTCCCAGTTGCTCCGGAGGTTGAAGTGGAAGGATCGTCTGCACAGAAGAATTTGAGGTTGCAGTGCCTTGTGCCACTGCACTCCAGCCTGGGTGACAGAGTGAGATTTTCTTAAAAATTTTTTTAAATGATAAATATTTTGAAGAAATAGAGAAATGATAAATATTTTGAAGAAAATAGAGGGTCATGTGAGGGTTAAGGTAGGTGGAGAACATTAGACAAAGCAGTCAGGGAGACCTGGGAATATGACATTTGAGATGACTGATAAAGGAGAGCCCATGAAGCAAAGATCTGGGGGAAGAATCTTCTAAGCAGAAGAAACGGCAAGTATAATACCAAGGCCACAAGGCAGGAGAAGCCATGCAGGTGGCATAAAGTGCTGACTGCCTGCCGAAATTGATTTCCCTTCTTTTTCTCTGCTGGTAGAGACCTGTTCTTGCCTCAGTGTTTGGTCTTCTCTTGTGCTGGAGTAAGTGGGCTACTTCCAGCCTGTAAGGGAAGGAGGTTTCTGAGAAAGACAAAAGAAAGACGAAGTGGAGTCCTGGAGACTGGATGCAAGCGTGCAAGAATGCAATGCCTGGACTGCAAGGGCCACTTGACAACTATAATGAGGGCTAGGACATACGCTGCAGATGGCAGAGCAGAAAAACCAATAGAACCTGGGTCCCCCAGGATCACAAACTGAACAGTTGAATTAACCATGCTGGACACAACCTCCCCAACACACACTGCTTGCTGTGTGAGATAGTAAGTTCCCTTACAGTTTGAGTTAGATTTTTTTTTTCATTACATGAAGCCAAAAGCACCCAAACAAACACTCAGGGTAGTTAGAATGGAAAGAACAGGGGCTTTGAGAAAAGTACAAGACAGAAAAATGTTTACATTTTCTTTAACTGCAATAGAAAACCACTGGTGGCTTTTAAATAATGGCAGGATGCAGGGTGCAGTGGCTCACACCTGTAATTCCAGCACTTTGGGAGGCAGAGGTGAGAGGACTGCCTGAGCCCAGGATTCAAAACTAGCCTGGGCAACTTGGCAAAACCTCATCTCTACAATTAAAATCAGCTGGGCGTGGTGGTGCATGCCTGTGGTTCTAGCTACTTGGAAGGCTGAGGTGGAAGGATCACCTGAGCTCAGCAGATCAAGGCTGTGATGGTCATAAGCATGCCATTGCACTCCAGCCTGGGCGATAGAGTGAGACTCCAAGCACTCCAATCAAACAAGCAAGCAAATAAATAAACAAAGACAGGATATAATCTGATTTATACTTTTAAGTCCCTATATGGAGCAAGTATTGTGGGCGCAATTTCATTCCATTGCCACTGTTTATAATTGTATATCTATTTCTGGAACACATCCATTTCAGGTTTATCAAGTTTTCCTTCTATCAGAAATTCTACCACTGTCAGAACATCTCCCCTGATCCCTTACATAGTACAACGTTTAAGAATATAAATTATGAGCGGCAAACATACAAAAGGGTGAAGGACAGGACAGACAAAAGTCAAACTTTGATGGAAATAAATTAAGTACTGTTAATTCCTCGGTATCTGCAGAGGATTGGTTTCAGGACCCCTGGGAGTACCCAAATCAGCAGATGTTGAAGTCTGTCATATAAAATGGCACAGTATGTGCATATAATCTTCACTCCTCTCATATACAGAAAATCCTCACTAAGTGTCATCAAGAGGTTCTTAGAAACTATGACTTTAAGTAAAACAATGTATATCAGAACCTGATATTATGTCATTTCATTATAATGTTTTTAAAAAATTTCCTTTTCTTTCCTTCTTTTTTTTTTTTAAATAAAAACAGGGTGTCACTATGTTGTCCAGGTAGGTCTTGAACTCCTGGCCTCAAGTGTCCTTCTGCCTTGGTTTCCCAAAGTGCTGGGATTATAGGCAGGAGCGTGATAAGGAGGGAAAAAATGGTTTTGTTACATGTTTTTTCATTTAAAGTTGCAGTTTCTAAGACCCTATCAATGACCTTAAGACTTACTCTACTTGAAATCATCTCTAGATTACTTATAACATATAATGTAATATAAAAGCTATGTAAATAGTTGTTATACTATATTAATTTTTTAAAAACTGTTGTCCTATTGTTTATTGGTTCCCCCCTGCCATAGTTTCAATCTGAGGCTGGTTGAAGCCATGGATGTGGACCCGGCTGATCTGGAGGGCTAACTGTATTTCTTCTGAAGTCAGAAGAAAAGAGTACAGCTTGTCTCAGCAGCTAAATACTGTTTGACTAAAAAGATAATTGATAATGACCTTATATTCTAAAAAGCTTGATTACCATATCTCTTTTTCTGTTAAGACCAGGAATCAATGTGGCACAATATTTATTATCATTATTACATTGCATAAAGACATGTTCATCTTAAACATACAAGACATGAATGGAATTTAGCTATAATTCCCTTGCAACACAACAGGATATGAAACTTATATATGTATGTGTATTACACATACATGCTTCCTCATTCATTTAGTATGACTTATACTCCAAACATGCTCCTGGTCAAAACCACCACATCATCAGTAAATAATTATGAATAGCTTCTGTGCTCAATTAACACTGGGCTATGCTTTAACATAATGTACCTAAGGGTACGTTGAAATGAAAGCCAAAGACAATTATGTGCTTTTCCCCATAGTATTATCATGTACCTTTTCATGACAATACAATCTCCTGTATATCATGTTACTTCATCCAAACTCTCTGAGTTTCAGAAGACTCTAAAGACTCTTCAATATCTTTAGATTTATTTTTGAACAGGAACTAGAAGAGCTGCTCACAGTCTCCCTTCCTTCACAAAAGGGGGGGGGGAGAAGCATACCAAAAGTTTAAACTGGTTATACACAAAAAAGCAGGTGACCTCCATTAACTCAAAGGTTGCTCTCCTGACCATCTTCCTTCTTCAGACATAAATATTTTTGCCTTCATACTGAGATGATTTTAAAGAATCAAGCAATCTTTGGATTCCTGGCATTACTTTATGTGGATTAGCTCAGTGAATCCTCAGAACCTACTAGGTAGATACTATTATTGTTCCCATTTTACAGAAGGGGAAACTGAGGTCAAGGGTGGTATCAGAGTGAGGAGAGGTGCACCAGAGTGCCTTGCGTGTGGCTCTTTAGTCATGCCCTGACTGGGGCAAAAGGCGCTTAAGTAACTTGCTCATTACACAATAATGTCTGCCTCCAGCTGAACAAGGAAAGGACAGGCAATCTGAGTTTTTACATCCTGGAACATATCCTAACCTATGATAAAGAGCACTGGGGCTTGGACAGAAGGCTGAATTCTAGAAGGAGCTGTGTGTGTTTGAGAACAGTTTTCCCATTCATTCAATGCTAAAATGTCTCAAAGAAATGAGAGATTAGATGTATCCACACAGATGCAAAAGTGCCTAATTCACTGAATAGCTCTCTCACTATGCAAGATGCCATTATCATCAAATGACAGGGAGTTTCAGGAGTGCCTCATGAAAAGTGGGGGCAAAAGTTGATCACGAGTCCAGCTGCCAGGGTGTTGTGTTTGGGGGGGAAGTGATAAGGAGATGAGTCAATTAATTTAGGACTTAAGGAGAGCAAAGATAGCTCCTGCGAGGGTGATCCTCTGAGCATAATCTCAATTATTGACCAAGCCTCTGCTTGACCTGGCCCACCTCCTATCTCATTCACAGACAGGCCTTTGTTCTATTCCTTGAAGTCAGGCCACATACTGCCTCTTCTGTTACCTGAACACTCCAACATCATGTCCACACCAAGACCTTTGCACTTGTCATTTCTTTTTCCATGGCTGGCTCCTTATAATTCTGGTTTCTGTTCAAACGTGACTTCTGAGAGAGGATTTCTCTGACTATTCTATCTACAACAGCAAAGCTCCCTCACCCCTTCATGACCCTACTTCTTCGTGGCACTATTCACTCTTAAAGTACCTCGTGTATGTGTACTTGTTGCAGGTGTGTCTACCCCCACTCCAATGCAAGCTCTGTAAAGCAGAGACCCTTTGGATCTTGCTCCTGGCAGGTAACCTCAGCATCCGGCACGTAACAATCATACACACGTTTGCTGTAGTCTACAAATACCTGAAGTCGGAGATTCCTAGACACCAGGAGGGATCGCGGGCCACCGGCACGTGTTCCTTGTGGACGGATGGGAAAGTGGGAAGGTTATTGTGAGAGGATCGGGGGCCTTCGGGAAGAGCAGCCGAAGTCCGAGCGCTCAGGAGGGCCGAGGGGCGCGAGGCGTGGGAGCTGGGGGGGGCGGTGCTCACCTGCCGAATGGCCGCCAGCGTGTTCTCGGGTGCGTCGTAGCTGCCGCCGCGGTGGGCGATGGCGGAAACGCGGTCCCGGGGCTTGAGCACCTGCAGGGCCCTGCAGGAGGGCACCGGCTCAAAGCTGAAGACGCGCAGCAAGACGAAGAGGCTGCCGGTGAGGAGGCAGGCATTGACCGGGCTGCGCGTCACCAGCAGCAGCAGCAGCAGCAGGAAGGAGAAGGGGCCCGTGAGGCCTCCCTGGTCCTCCCACAGCCACATGCCAGCGCCCGCACCAGCACGGACGGGAGTCCCGGACCAGCCGGGCTCCCGGGACAGGACAGAGAGAAGCGGGGGGGGCACCCAAGGCTTGGCCACAGCTGGCACCCGCGGAGGAGACCAGCGCCGCACAATGGCGGCGGCGGACACATCCAGGGAGGAGCCGGCCGTCCAACCAATCAGAGCCCGGGACCGCAAGCGCTAGGGGGCGGGGCCTCTCCATGGCAACGAGGGCGGGCCCAGGCCCCAGGCTCCGGGCTCACATTCCAAAGCCTCTTCGGGTTATCTGGGGTCAGGACCTTAACCCGGGCGGTCAGTAGGCGAGAAGGGGAGGGAGAAGAACCTTAGGACAGCAGGACTGATAAAGGATCTTGGTGACCTCTTGAGGAAACTGAAGTCCAGGGAACCTTAAAGGGGCAGCACGCCTAGACTGTTCATTCAAGACGTGCCAAACACAGGTCCAGGTGCTCTGGACACAGCCGTGAACAGGACCTACAGGGTCCTTGCTCCCGTGCGGCTCACATTCTTCTTGGGGGGACATAATCACGTTAGCAAGTACAGGTAACATTTACAGAGCACTTACCATGTCCCAGGTGCTGTGCCAGCAAATACTTTGTATGCTTATCTCATTTATTCTCATAACAGTCTCAGGAGGTGGGTATTATCTCAGGAGACTGATCCCAATCGACTTTAGAAGGAACTTCCAGGTTCTGAAGGGATGAAAGAACCTAGCAAAGGAGGAACAATCAGATTATAAATCTGGAAGAGGTTTTAATGATTTCCTCATTTTTATAGATGAGGAGACTGAGGAGAGGTGAAGTAAATTGAGTTCGTGGCAGGGTCAAGACTCCTGTGACATTTCTGTTACAGCCTCCCCGGTTTTTATGCTCACTGCCCAGAAAAGCCAAGAGTAAAACAGCTGTTGCAGTAGAGTTTAATAATCGTCGAGCAGATGAGTGAGGAGGATGGGAGATATTTCTCAAAACTGCCTCCTGAGAAACTCAGAGGTTTGGTTTTTTAAGGATAATTTGGCAGGCAGGGGACGAGGGAATTGGGACTACTGAATGGCTGGGGATGAAATCGGAAGTGTCAAGATTGTATGCTCAAGCCTGTAATCCCAGCACTTTGGGAAGCCGAGGTGAGAGGATTGCCTGAGCCTACGGGTTCGAGACCAGCCTGGGCAACTTCGTGAGACCTCATCTCTACAATAAATCTAATAATAATAATAATAATAATAATTAGCCTGGCATGGTAGCATGCGCCTGTAGTTCCGGCTACTTGGAAGGTTGAGGCAGAAGGATCGCCTGAGCCCAGCGGGTTGATGTTGGGGTGGCCATGAGCATGTCACTGCATTCCAGCCTGGGTGATAGAGTGAGACTCGACTCAAAAAAAAAAGAAAAAGAAAAAAGAGATTGTATACCCATTCAGTTTCTGAGTGGGGTTCACAGGTCACTGATCTACTTGGCCTGAGATGGTCTTCCAGAATGCAGAGTCTGAAAATTACCTCAAACGCCAGTCTTAGGTATATATTATCTATGGGAGCAAGGGGAAAAATACAAATCTTGTAACAAAGGATGTTGGAGGGGGGAGTTCCTAGTAAGTAAAGCTGCTCATGTTCTTTGATCTTCCAGTGGTTAAACTTCTGAACACCAGCAAGGAGGTTGGCATGACCTACAGTCCATTGTTTTTCAAGAGAAAAACAAATTGCTTAATCTTGCAGGCAGACCTGGTGCTTAGATATGCATAGAGGGAGAAAAGGTAAAAAAAACACTTTATGATTAAGTTATACTCATATCCTAACAGAATTTGGGCCCTATCACAATTCTAACCTTGTGACCTTTTATTAACTTCCACTGCTACTCCTCCTCCTAATCCTACTTAGAGTTTATGTACCAGGCACTGTGCAAGGGTTATCTCAACTGTGCCTCACAGCTACCTTTATGATAGGTACTTTTAAATACTCATTTTATATATGAAAAGTAGGCACTGGAATGATAGAGACAGAAGGTAAAACTGGGTTAGGGAATGGAAAGGGGCCACTAAATCATATTTTGGAAAGCTGGTAACATGTTGTTTAGATAGAGAACTTTGGCAAAATATGCAGGGTTTTTTCGGTTACCTGTTACCTTTTCCTTTTGGATTTATTTTCCCACTGATTTGCAAAAAGGTATAGATGTCTTAAGGCTTCAAGTTGGCATCTACGAGTCAACAGAGAAAATATTTTAGTAAATGTTGTACATGTAATGTAAAACATTTTGGTTAATGTTGTATATGTAATGTTGTATATGGATTTGTTTTTCCACTGATTTGCAAAAAGGTATAGATGTCTTAAGGCTTCACGTTGGACTCTACAAGTCTACAAAGAAGAGATTTTGGTGAATGTTGCTACGATCACAAAGAAAGAGGTTATCTATATACGGATAAGCAAAGAATGGCAACTTCAAGGAACAATTCAGGGGGCTTCAGACCCTGAGAAGCGTTCCTATGTAATAAACAAACAAACAAGCAACTATAAATAATAGAGGGGCTGGCTTGCAGCGAGGACTACGTTTCCCGGCGTGCAGCGCGCTAGCCATAATTACACAGGCCTCTATCACGGGAGCGCGATGCACTTTGGGGATTGTAGTTTTATGGAAGCCCAACCGTTTCAACTGCCCGTGAAGCAACCACCGGAAGTACCGACCCGGAGAGGTGGAGTCCGGGTGGCGGCGGCGGCGGTTGCCAGGAGCCCGCGTTGCCGCCTGAGCCCGTAATATGGCGGGGTGGAGGAGGAGAAGGCGGCGGCGAATCGAGTGGCGCTCTGTCAGTACCGATTGAGCCTTCTGGTTCCTGCCAACGCCCGTGGCAAGGGGAGAAAAGCGGACGAAGCCGTGGGGGATCAGGTGTGTGCTCTCGAGGAGAGGAGGGGCTCGACCCTCGGCGCGTCCGGGGAGGAATTGGCGCCCTAAAGAACTGATGGCGGGCTCTGTGCTAGGCTCCCGAGCCTCGAGCTCCTGGAAAGGCACCGGGTGTAGGGGGGCGGGGGATGGCAGCACCGGGCGCGGAGGTGATGCTCGGATGCTGGCACCGCGTGGTTGGCCTTTTGGATGGAGCGTCAGCATCCGGAGAGCTGGGGGAGGCGGGCGTGGGGCGCTGGGCAAGGGTCCCTGGTGGATAAAACCTCAGCGCCGGAGACCCCTCTCCTGGTGATGAAACCGTTCGGGACGTTTTTCTATTCCCTCCCACGGCGCGGGAAAGGGAGGCGTCCCCAGAGTGTGCGCTGGCCATTGATGATCGCCGGTAACCACAACCCAAGGCCCTAGGAGCACTGTGGACTCCGCCTTTGCCGCTCTGGGGTACCAGCTTGAGGATGATAAAGCAAATCTTGCTGATTGCCCCTGAGGGTGCTAGGTGGTTCCCACCCTTTGCTTCTATTCTTCGGTTGGAACCCCAGTCCGCTACCCCTCTCCCGCCCCGCCCCCCGCCCCGTTTAGGCAAATGGCAGCCGTCCTAGAGAGAGATGGATTTGGCGGGGAGGGGTCTAGAGGCAGGGAAATGAGGACGCTGTTGTCCCGCCTTCCATGTTTTTAAGTTTCATTTGAATCCTTCCAGGAAGCAAACACTGTCCCTGCCCTCCGTTCATGGTCTAGTGCTAAAAATCACCATCATGATCCTCTTAGCAAGAAAAGCAGCTGCCAGGTAGTGATGCTTTCTGCCTGTCTTGCAGTATGCTAACTGCCGCACATGCGTGAACTCACTGAATTCTCTCAGAATCCCTCCGAGGCGGATACCCTGGTTATCCTTGTTTTACAGAGAAGGAAACTGAGGCGTAGGGATGGTACCTGGCTTGCCACGAATGTGCAGCTAGTATGTGTCTGAATAAATCTTCCTCTTTCCTGCCTCCACAAGAAGTTTGCGTCTTTGGGGAAACTGATTGGTAAACGACCAGCCAGGATCTGAAAACAAGGCAGAACGTGTTACTTTTACCATTCTCTTTAGTGATATTTTTGGCAGAACACTGATAAGGAGCAGATAGGACCTCGAGTCTATGGAATTTACGTAGAGGCTCATTTGAACAAGCATCAGTGGTACTCCGTGGTTTAAATGTAGAAAGCAAGGCATGTCTGAACCTGCTGCAGCTTACACATTATTACTGGAAGTGGACCAGTCATGCCTGATTAAAGTATGGGGCAGTAGATTTGTGGTTGGGGTGGCCTTGCAGGCAAGGCTCCTTTAGAAGAAAACCTTGCCGACAGTGGTAATTGTCTGAGAAGCATGGTGCCTTCTTGCTTAATCATGGGATAAGGATTGCTCACTTTTTAAATGGTTAACTTTGCAGTTTAGAGGCACTTGATTCTCTGGGAATAGTGTCACCCATGAAATTACCATCCTCTGAATTTCATTCTTCCTTGCCAGCTTCTTTGGCATATAGTTCGCTCTCTTCTTTTTTCTCCGGGTTTACATTATTACTTGAGCGTGTTACCCTAATTCATTTATTCAATACTTTTATCAAGTGCCTGCTGTGTGCTGACACTGTTCTGTGTAATGGGGATTCAGTGAGCAAGACTGAGAAGGTGCCTGTGCTTATGGAGCTTACGTTTTGGTGGAGGAAGACAGACAGAAACAAGGGAATAAACAAGATAATTTCAGATCGTGGTAAGTGCTATGAAAATTGGGAAACAGCAGGGTAATATGATAGTGACTGAGGTAGGGTTAGTTTAGATGGGGTAACCAGGGACAGCCTGAGGAGAGGACATCCAAGCTGTGACTGAAGGATAAGAAGGATTCAGTTGTGCTCCAGGATCATTTAGTAATTTCCATCATCTCCATAGTCTCACTTGCATTTGAATGCATTGTCATGTGCTGTAAGTTTTGCTGTAATAATAATATATTCCTATCTATTTGCAATATGTAGGACATATATGTACTATGTAAGGGATATGAATGACTTTCTGAAACAATGAAACATATCTCTATGATGTTGAAAGAAAAATAACACTATTGCCATAAAAGTATTCTATTTCCTTAAATTTCTTAGACCTTTAAATTGCATCTTGTGCTTTGTGTATCCATAGAAAGTTTATTACTTTATTTGTGTATTATGTTCCTTGTAATGCTGAATGCATGGGTTGTGTTAAAAATAATAAAGTATTTGAGCAGGAATGGGTTCACTTAAATTTCTCTTACATCTTAGCTATTGCATATTTTGGTTTTTAAGATACCACAATGTGGGTTGAAACCCAAACTGAAAACTGGTTTTGCAATAAGGCGTTTTGTTGTTTCTATTTTTGTTTTTTTAAAAAAAATACGAGATTGCAAAATAATCTCATTCATGCTTTAGAGAATCATTTTTTTAAATTAAACTGTCACTTTACATAAACTGAACATAGAAATAATTACAATTGATGGAATGGTAGGAAGAAATTTTGTTATTGATAAAACTACCAGTAGGTCAAAAGTAGCAATATATCTTTTTTTCATAATCCAATTTTTCACATTAAATAATTTAGTATTTTTTCATAATCTAATCATAACTTTGAACATGCTTTTTTTTTTCAATTCCAGTTGTACTATAATTTGTCCCTGACACTTTAGGGTACTGAGTTTTTAAGTATTTTGAGGCCCAGGATAGTATCATATTTACCTTGTTTTATCTTTGCATATTCCCACATCGTGAACTAAATTTCCCTATCCTCTCTTTTTTGCTAAGTAGTTAATTGTTTTAAAATGAACATATAAAGGAACATTATTATATCAGGTTTTGGGTTTCCACAGTTCATACCCTTGCTGGTTATGATTCTGATGTCTTTCTTTTTATTTTACCCCTGCTTGTTTAAAGAAAGAAAGGAAGCAGTGCCACATATAATGTTATGCAAAAAAGCAATCAATCAATTTTTAATGCTTGCCAAATAAATGAATATCATGGCTAATCCCTCCCTGGTTATCTTGTATTTTCATAACCACCATTACAATTTCTTAAAATTTATGAAATTACTGGGCTGATTGTTTTAAGTAGTTTGGTGATGATTCTAGTTTTCAACAATAAGACAGAAGTAGCACCAGAACCAATAGATTTTCTTTATTTTGCTTCTGAGTTGGCTGGTGCTTAGAGAGTCACAATATAGTCTTAAAATACGTGGGTTGAGGTGGGAAGATCACTTGAACCTAGGGATTTGAGACTGTAGTGCACTGTAATTGTACCTGTGAAACAGACACTGAATTTCAGCCTGGGCAAAATAGCAAGACCTTGTCTTTTTAAAAAACAAAGTAAAGGCTGGGTGCAGTGGCCCATGCCTATAATCCTAGCACTTTGAGAGACTGAGGCGAGAAGATTGCCTGAGCCCATGTGTTCGAGATCAGCCTGGGCAACATGGCAAGATCTTGTCTGTACAGTAAATCAAAAAATCAGCCGGGCATGGTGGCATGCACCTGTAGTTCCAGCTACTTGGAAGGCTGTGGTGGAAGGATCACCCAAGCCCAGCAGGTCGAGGCTGCGGTGACCGTGAGCATGCCACTGCTCTCTAGCCTGGGCAACAGAATGAGACTCCACCTCAAATAATAAATAAATAAATAAGAGAAAAATATGTAAGTAATAGTCTTTGAACTTCGTAAAGTGGTACAAAACTTTGTATCCTTTAATAAGGTTTTAATTAGTTCTTAGTTCTTTTCTAAATTAGTCACATTTAAATATTGATTTACATGCAGAAGTGTTTAGAAATACTTAATATATGAAGCAAGTCTTAGTTGGACAGGGTCTTGAGGTGATTTACTATACCCGAGAATTAGCTCCTGATCAGTGAGACAATTCTGGGAGGCCAGTTGTAGGAACTGTGAATTCTAGGAATTTCTCATGCTCTACAAAATTTGCCTAATAATTAAGGTCTACTTTTCTCAGCACATTAAAAATAACATTTTTCTCTCTTGTAGTGTGACTGTGGGAAGATGGAGGAGTATGAGAAGTTCTGTGAAAAAAGTCTTGCCAGAATACAAGAAGCATCACTATCCACAGAAAGCTTTACACCTGCCCAGTCTGAAAGTGTCTCACTGATTCGCTTTCATGGAGTGGCTGTGCTTTCTCCACTGGTAAACTTTCTTTGTTTTTAGATTACTTTTTTCTGTAGTGAACCACTAGAGCAGAAAACACAGAAAAACAAAAGGCAGGCTTATAAACATTTGAAAAGGTGCCTAACCCTTATTCACAATTAGAAAAATACAAGTATTATCATTTTTTACCTACTAGATTGGCAAAGATCTGATAGGACCTAGTGTTCATTAGGTATGAACAAAATGAACTTTTAATGCACTTTTACTGAGAGATTCTATTTTTTGGTAAGCAGTTTGGCAGTGTTGATCAGAATTTAAAAGCAAAGCCTTTGATTCAGCAGTTCCATTTTGGGGACTATCCTACAATTATATGTGTGTCCAAAGAAATAAATACAAGATTATAGTAGCATTGTTTCAAATTGCAAAAGATAGATGAACTTGCTTGCTTCAGCATCACATATACTAAAATTGGAACGATACAGAGAAAATTAGCATGGCCCCTGCACAAGGATGACACACAAATTCGTGAAGTGTTCCATATTAAAAAAAGATTGATGAACAACCTAAATGTCCATTGATAGTGGACTAGTTTAACTAACTGTGCTCCATTTTATAGAATCTCATCACAATGAGTAAGGGAGATCTAAATGTGCAGACATGGAAGGTTCTTCATGCTCTATTGTAAAATACTACGTGCAGTGTGATCTTAGAGGCAGTGCTGAGAAATGGTTAAAAGCTCTGGCTCTAGAGCCTTCTGGCCTGGGTTCAAATCATTGGTTTGCTACTCACCTGCTGGGTGAATTTGTGGTCCATTTCCTTATTTGTTAAATGGGGATTAAAAGTAGTGCCTACTTTATAAGGCTGTTGTGAAGGTTAAATGAATTAATACATGTAAAATGCTTAGTATATTATCCGGATCATAGGAGGTACTCAGTATATGCTAACCATTTGGGTTTTTAAAAGGATGATATATATATATATATATATATATTCATTTTCTGGGGACTGGAAAGGGAATATTGGATGGTAGAGAAGACACTTGTAATATACCCTTTGGTGCTGATTGTTTTTTAAATATACATGACTCTTTTAAATCAGAAAATTAATATTATTGGAAAAAAGTGAGTTTTATTTTTTTTTGTATAACAGAAGTTAAAAATCAATATTTTCTGAAAACCTTTTTTTTTTTGAGTTGGGATGGAGTGTTGCCAAGGGTAGAGTGCAGTGGCACAACCAAGGCTCACCACAGCCTTGAGCTCCTGGGCTCAGGCGATCTTTCCACCTCAGCCTTCCGAGTAGCTAGGACTACAGGCATGTGCCACTACATGTGGCTGATTTTTTGTAGAAAGTGGTCTCGCTGTATTGCCTAGGCTGGTCTAGAATTTCTGAGTTCAAGCAATTCTCCTGCCTTGGTCTCCCAAAGTGCTGGGACTATAGGCATCAGCCACCATGCCTAGCCTGCAATAATTTTTAATGATATGTTTTTCATATGTGTAAGTCTAAAGTAAGTCTTGACTCTTAACACAGTCACTAAACTTCTCAGGACCGAATAATTAAGACTGAAATCCACTATAAAAAGATATAATGCTTTTAGAAGCCTTCCTTTTTTTTTTTTTTTTTTTGAGTTGTAGTCTCACTGTGTCGCCCAGACTGGAGTGCAGTGGCACACTCCCAGCCACCGCAGCCTCGACCTGCTGGGCTCCGGCGATCCTTCTGCCTCAGCCTTCTATGTAGCTGGAACTACAGGTGCGTGCTACCACGCCTGGCTACTTTTTCATTTATTGTAGAGGTGAGGTCTCACCAAGTTGTCCAGGCGGGTCTCGAACCCGCACGCTCAGGCAATCCACTCACCTCAGTCTCCCAAAGCGCGGGATTACAGGCTGAGCCACCGAACCCGGCTAAGCCTTCCTTTTTTTAAGGAACATTTTATTTTTATTGGATAGCACAATAAGGCAGAATAAGAAAAGTTATGATTTTGTAGACAAATAAAACATCTGTTTCTTTGATCATTAAACTTTTGGACATTTTCTTGAGGCAGCAAAGAGGTAAAATCTGCACTAATTAGAAGATTAAAAATTGAAGAATCTGACCTGTGAAGTATGATATTGAAAGTGAAGTAATATTCAAGTGACTATTCAAGTGAAGTCATGAAAAGCTCAGCAGTGGGTGAAAGGCTAATTTTATTATTTCTGTCATTTTAGAGCATTTGCTAAGTGAGCATGTTTTTCTTTCTTTTAACTTTGTTTTTTTCCAATTGAGAATAATTTACATGCAGTGAAAAGCACAGATCTTATATGTTAAAGTTCCATGAGTTTTGATACATGGCATACAGCTGTATAACTCCCAGCCATAGAGAATATTTTCATCACCACAGACGGCTCTCACATGCCCCATCCCACTCAATATGTGCAACCATTATTCAGATTTCTTTGACTATAGTTTAGTTTTGTCTGTTGCACATGTTTTTAATCACTGAGTCAAATCTTTTTTATTTTATATTTTTATCAGTAAGAAATAATTACACTTTTATATGTTTTACAGCTTAACATTGAGAAGAAAAAAGAAATGCAACAAGAAAAGCAGAAAGCACTTGATGTAGAAGCAAGAAAGCAGGTTAATAGGAAGAAAGCTTTACTGACTCGTGTCCAGGAGATTCTTGAAAATGTTCAGGTGTATAATTTAAGCTCTTTTAGATTATAATTAAGATATCATACAGTAAGCGTTGATAATTTTTCAGAAATATATTTGTACTTAACTAATCACCAATATACTTTACTATTATGTTTTAGAAGCTTCATAGTTTGTGATATGCCATTTCAATTACTCCAAAGAGAATTCACTTGCTTGTTAGTGATGCCCGGTACTTGAATCAGAGGAGACTTGGACAATGGAGTCATACACAGAATATAATTGCTTATTGTCTGCATCTTATAACTCTAAAAACATTGAATTCTCAGTGACAAATGACAGAATTGGCTATTGCTGTTTACCCCTAAACTAATTAGACAATTGACTAAATGACCTTATTCTCATTCTCTGCTAAAGTAAATAATTACCCCCAATTTTTTTTGGTGAAAATTCTGCTCTTACATATTTATCTAATTTAGATTAGATGAACAGAATTGTCTAGATGCATCCTAGATCCAGATTAAAAGCATTTAAACAACATATGAACACCGTTTGCACTTGTTATTTAGATTAATTTAAATTTGTATAATCATTTTATTTTTAGGTATGAATCATTTTGTGCTAAAAAGAAAAACAAATGAATTAGATTGAGCAAATAATGCCTGCTATATATAGCATATTGCTGGTAACATCTTGTTTTTTATAATCTTAGGGGTTTGTGATATGTTTGTGTAATTCATACCAGACGACACATATATAATGAACCTTAAGGATATTTACCACTACTGCTATCTTCATTTTTCTGTTGGTAGTATGTAGTGTGGGTAGTAGATTTTAATTTGTAGAATATAATTACTGACTATATTAAGTTTAAAAAATATGTGTAATGCTAATTTAACAAGAGATGGGTTTTTTACTTACTCGATATTCCCTGTTATTGAAACAAAAATGGCATATCATTCTTGGTCCATTGAGGAAAGATGAAATATACTACTAATAAAATTGTTGACTCTAAAAACTTTCTGTTTAAAAGAGCATGTATAGCATTGAACTATAATGAATGAAATATTCAGGCAGAGAAATTGTATGTAATACAAATAGATTTTTAAGATTTGCTTCACCCGTAAAACCTAGATTCTATGATAGAGTTTGTTGTTATGTAACTTATCTAACCAAAGGCTCATTTTCATGGCATATAAAAAACATAGCTGTTGAATGTCACAAATGCAAAATGTGAAATAGTTTTTATAAAGAAATAATCTATTTTATTTAAACTTCTGAATATGTTCATGGTCTTATGTATCCCTTTTGGTTTATTTTAGTCCTGAGATGGTGGCTAAGTATGTCTTGTACTGTTTATTGCATAGTACCTGGAAACCATTACATGTCTTGGGATTTGTAAGGTAAAAAGGAGAGCCATATGTTCTAGGAAAAAAACAAGCACAAACAGAAGAACCTAAAAATCTTAATAGTCAGGATTTTGAAGTCTATATTCATATGATGATTTTTGCCAGTTTAATGTATGCTTTGATAATCTTTAGAAACCATCCAAGTTCATTTTGTATTCTTTTGCAAAGAAACAAAATATCTATTCTTGCATGTATTTTTTTTTTTTTTTTTTTGAGTTGGAGTCTCACTCTGTCGCCCAGACTGGAGTGCAGTGGCCGCTCCCGGCCACCACAGCCTCGACCTGCTGGGCTCCCGCGATCCTTCCACCTCAGCCTTCCAAGTAGCCGGAATTACAGACATGCGCTACCACACCCGGCTGATTTTTTGATTTATTGTAGAGATGAGGTCTTGCTGCCCAGGCGGGTCTCGAACTCACGGGTTCAGGCAATCCACTCACCTCAGCCTCCCAAAGGCACGGGATTACAGGCTGAGCCACCGAGCCCAGCTCTTGCATGTATTTTTAAATCTGTTTTATTTTTCTGTTGGACCTCTTGTATATACAGTTGTTCTTATCCTAACGTATCATGCATTGCTGTTTTAACTTCCTTCAGTTAACCTCACTGAATTTTGTTTTAATGAATTGAGTATTTAAGTAGAAATATTTATTATTTCTAAAAAATTTAAGCTACATGGCTGAGCTATTGTTCACTACAAATTTGCCTTATTTTATGGAGGAGTATTAGAGTTTGGAGTAAACATATGGGAGGGAGGAGTCTTATTACTGAATTATTATTTTCTTTTTTTTTTTAGTTGAAGTCTCACTCTGTCACCCAGGCTGGAGGGCATGTCCTGGACAAGTTAGTCTCTGTTAGAAAGGGGATCGTTTATGTAAGACATATAATTACTTACTATTTGTCACATATATTATTATCCTTAGATATTAGTTATCCCAGGAGGAACAGTTGGTGATGTTAATAACATATGACCAGAAGAAAGTTAAGGAAGGCTAGGCGCAGTGGCTCACACCTATAATCCCAGCACTTTGGGAGGCCGAGGTGAGAGGATTGCCTGAGTCCATGGTTTCAGGACGAGCCTGGGCAACTTGGCGAGACTTCATCTAGCCAGGCATGGTGGCACGTGCTTGTAGTTCCAGCTACTTAGAAGCTAAGGAAGGCTAAGGCGGGAGGATCACCTGAGCCCAGCAGGTTTAGGCTGTGGTGGCCGTGAGCATGCACTATAGTCGACAGAGTGAGACTCCGACTTAAAAAAAAAAGAATGTTAAGGAAAATGCTTCTATTCCGAGATTGAGTTGTGTATAGATAGAGGAGCACATATGTATGTGTATATATACACATATATGCTCGTATTTGTATCAAATTAGATAATTTCCTTTTTTTTCTTTTAATAAATAAGCTGGGATGACCAATAGATGCTTTTTTTTTTTTCTTTTTGAGTTGGACTCTCACTCTTTTGCCCAGACTGGAGTGCAATGGTATGCTCCCGGCAACTGCAGCCTTGACCTGCTAGGCTCTGGCGATCCTTCCACCTCAGCCTTCCAAGTAGCCGGAACTATAGGTGCACACTACCACACCCAGCTAATTTTTGATGTATTGTAGAGATGAGGTCTCACCAAGTGGCGGGTCTCGAACCCGTGGGCTCAGGCAATCCACTCGCCTTGGCCTCCCGAAGTGCTGGGATCACAGTCTGAGCCACCAAGCCCAGCCAGATGTCTTTTTTATAGGAATTTAAGTCCCATGTGGTATGGGATACTATAAAAACTGGTTGTCTTAGTTTTTGTTTGTGTTTCAAATGTCAGACTCTGAATCTTCTATTTCAATTTTATTTTATTTATTTTTCTCTGGCACATGAGTCAAATCAGTTTTATTTTAGAAAACAATGGAACAAAAGGCTTTTTGTACAGTGAGGAAATATTAATTTTTAAATTTCCTTTTTCCAGGTTAGAAAAGCACCTAATGCCAGTGATTTTGATCAGTGGGAGACTGAAACAGTTTACTCGAATTCAGAAGTCAGAAACTTGAATGTTCCCGCTGCATTTCCAAATAGCTTTCCAAGCCATACTGAGCACTCTATTTTAGCAAAGCTTGAAAAGACAGCAGGAATTTTGCCATTGGATAATGAAGACCCATGTAAAACTAATGGGATAGACTTAGCTAGAGATTCAGAAGGATTTAATTCTCTGAAGCAGTGTGGTGCTTCAAATATTGATCATGCAGAAAATGAAACTTTTCCAAAGACCTCCTCAGCAACCCCACAAGAGACTCTTACATCTGATGGTCTTTTCTCAACAAATGAAGAAAAGCATTCATCACTTCTGGAAGAAGTCATTCCAGACCCCTATGTAATGAGTCTTCAAAACCTGTTGAAAAAGTCAAAAGAATATATAGAAAGAGAACCATCAAAACGTAGTCTGCGAACTAGTGCAAAGAGGATTGTTAATGAGAATCATTCAGACAAAGAAAATGATGCTGTTAAAGGAACTGACTGTGTAAAGGAGAAGGCCCAGTTGATAGGCAAACACTGTGTCTCAGTTATTCCTGACAAACCAAGCCTTAATAAATCAAATGTTCTTCTCCAAGGTGCTTCCACTCAAGCAAGCAGCACAAATATGCCAGTTTTAGCTAGCTTTTCTAAAGTGGGCATACCTGTACGAACTGGCCATCCCACTGTTCTAGACTCTGATTCTGACTCTAAAGTTATTCCCACTTTTGTTACTGAAAATAATGTTATCAAAAGTCTTACAGGTTCATATGCCAAATTACCTAGTCCAGAGCCAAGTATGAGTCCTAAAATGCATCAAAGGCGTTCCAGGCCATCATCGGCATGTCATATACTCATAAATAACCCAATAAATGCTTGTGAATTAGGCCCTAAAGGAAAGGAACAAGCAGTGAGCTTACTAGTTCAAGATACTGATGAAAAAGCAAATGAACCTGAAATTGTGCCAAAGTTACCAACTGATTTAGCAGGAATTTGTTCAAGCAAGGTTTATGTAAGCAAAAATACATCTGATGTCATAGAGGACATGGTTTTAGGTAAATCAAATCAGGTATGTCAATCTTCAGGAAATCAATCAGAAAATAAAGTTACTCATGGATTTGCTACTGTGGAAGGTCAGGTAACATCTGATGAGGGAGGAGCACACAAAATGAACAGTACTTGTACTGCAATGCCAAAATTGCACGAACCATATGCTACCAGTCAGTGTATAGCAAGTCAGAACTTTGGAACTTTGTGTGGACTCAAGCCGACCAGTGTGTTAGAGAAAAACTCCTGCAATTTACAAACAGAACTGAATAAGTCTTACGATGTAAAAAACCCATCTCCTTTACTGATGCAAAACCAGAATACCAGACAGCAGATGGACACACCTATGGTGTCCTGTGGAAATGAACAATTTTTGGATAATAGTTTTGAAAAAGTTAAACGGAGACTTGATTTAGATGTTGATAGTTTGCAAAAAGAAAACTGCCCTTATGTCATAACAACTGGAATAGCTGAACAAGAAAGGCAACATTTGCCAGAAAAAAGATACCCTAAGGGATCTGTCTTCATTAACAAGAATAAAATGTTAGAAACTAGTTCCAAAGGTAAGGAAACTTTTAAGTGTTTGATACCTGCTGTGTAGATGGCACCTTGATTTTAATACTTGTAATTGACATTTTGAAAAAAAATTGTTTGTTCATACAAGTACTTAATTTTGTTTATCTTACTAAGAAGATTATAATTAGCTACAGTTCATTGCCATTGGATGGGCTTTCTTAAAGAATTTTCTTGTTTGAATGAAAAGCTTTCCTAGTCCACCTGGTATTATTGAAAATATTATTAATGACAGTTCTTGCATGAGACATCATTTATTGTTTTAATCCAGTGTATTGCTTTGAGGTCTTGGTTTCGGACTGTGGTTTCTTTCGTTCTCTTTTTTTTTTTTTTGAGTTGGAGTTTCACTCTGTTGCCCAGGCTGGAGGGCAGTGGCACGCTCACGGCCACCACAGCCTCAATCTGCTGGGCTCAGGCGATCCTTCCACCTCAGCCTTCCAGGTAGCTTGAACTACAGGCATGCGCTACCATATCCGGCTTATTTTTTTATTTATTGTAGAGACAAGGTCTCACCAAGTTGCCCAGGTTGGTCTTGAACCCCTGGACTCAGGCAATTATCTTGCCTCAGCCTCCCAAAGTCCTGGGATTACAAGCTACCATGCCCGGCTGTACTATGGTTTCCAATGTTTTTGTCAGTTTGCACTTTCATTTGTTATGAGATCGTCATGTAGTTGGTCCTTCAGTAAACACTTTAATGTCAAATTATTAGAAAAACATCAAAAATGAAGCTCTTGAGTGGTGTTTTAAGAATATTTCATTAATATTTCAGGTTTTTTCTGTTGCATCCAATGTTATATTAACAACAATGTTAAGGCATGAATTAGCTGGGCGTGGTGGTACATGCCTGTAGTCCCAGCTACAGGAGGCTGAGGTAGGAGGATCATCTGAGCCCTGCAGGTAGAGACTGCAGTGGCCTTGAGCTTGCCACTGCATTCCAGCCTGGGCAACAGAGTGAGACTCCAACTCAAGGAAAAAAAAAAGATAATTAGAGTCAAGAGAATCTTGCCTGAGCATCCAGTCTTGGCTCCATCAGCTCAGATCCTATGGAAATCTGTTGACTGAGTAGATAAAAGCGATGAGATACAAGCTTTTCTTTATTGGTTAGCATGAAATAAGACAAGGAGCAAGTGAGGGTGTGGTTCAAAGTAGAGATCTGGCTAGATCTTGATTGTATTATGTCAGATCCAGGGATACTTTCTTGTCAGAAGCATAACTTAAATAGGTAGTATAAAATATCAGATATTAGACTTGTGATTTTCTAAATTTGAGAAGGCACGTTTCTTTTCAGAAAGCGAGGAGATACTAAAAAGCAAGATGTTTGCTTTTGAAGAAATGCGGAAGAGACTAGAAGAGCAGCATGCCCAGCAGTTATCACTACTCATAGCCGAGCAGGAAAGGGAACAGGAAAGATTGCAAAAGGTGAGAAAGTAAAAGGTAGGGGTATTTCAGGCTAGTCAGTGAAATCTAGCTGGAGATACTTATGACTTTTGGTCATGGAAGAATCATTGATTTTGATACATGTCAAAATGTGAGTCTTAATATTTAGATTCTTATCTAAAAGTAATTGTATAATCTATCAAATAGATACTTTATTGAGTCCTTGATTCAAAAAGTATTTTTAAAAGGTATTTTGTAAGTAGATGCTGAAGTACACATTTTACAAGAGGTATATCATAAGAAGAAAGACTTTTGTTATAAGATTATTATAGTTAGACCACTTTAAAGTCAGTTGTAATAATTTTATTTGAGGGAGGACAACTTGAATGATAATTTGCTGATAGTTATGTGTACATTTGGCTAAGCCTAAAAATGATACTATTTGGGGTATAATCAAAAGATCTAGCATGTTACAATAAACTGTTAATCTATAGGAAATAGAAGAACAGGAGAAAATGCTAAAAGAGAAGAAGGCGATGACAGCAGAGGCCTCTGAACTGGACATTAACAATGTGGTGGAGCTGGAATGGAGAAAAGTCAGTGACTCTGGTTTGCTGGAAACGATGTTGTCTCAAGTGGATTCACTCCATACTGCAAATTCCAATAGTTCTGGTAAATAATTGAAAATCCTTTTCCATTTGAAAAAATTATCCTACAGTAAAATGTTTATTTGGCACACTTTAAAAGTATAGCTTCCTTTTTCAAGTAATTTCCATGTCCAACCCACTGCCGTTGCCCAGCTGCTTAGTAACAGTGGAAAATGACATGGTAACAGAGCAAAGACTGGAGAGCAGGTGTTCATGAGAAAAGCCTGCCTCGGCAAGGAAAATATCTGGAAATTCAGCTCAGAGCCCAGTCTGTGGTCATTTATGCAGCAGGTGATATACTTCAAGTGAAAACAGTTTGCTATCTCCTGAGTAATCTTGAATTACCTCTAATTCCCCAGTCCCTGTAAGAGCTTATCTTCACATCTTCAATTATCCTGAGATGCTGTTTATGTTGAAAAGATCCATCTGGTACATAAGCTTAAAGTCCATAAATATTTTAATTCTGCATGTGGATCAGTTTTGGAGGCAGCTGTTACTCTTAACGAGTGTCACAATGAGTTTATTTGGATGCTCTTCATATTCTGATTATATAACATCAAGTATAATACTATATATGTATTTCTCTAGGTTTCACAAATTCTGCCCTGCAGTATAGCTTTGGTTCTGCAAATGAAGCACCCTTCTACCTCTGGGGATCATCAACTAGTGGCTTGACCAAACTCTCAGTAACAAGGCCTTTTGGAAGGGCCAAGACTAGATGGTCTCAGGTGGGCAAACTTAATGAGATATATCTGTTCATCCAGCTATCTGTCTTCTTAAGAGAAGGTTGAACAAATGAGCATCAATAAACATTGCCTATCTTATTCCTCCTAGGTTTTTAGTCCAGAAGTACAAGAAAAATTTAACAAAATAACTGCAGTGGCAAAAGGATTTCTTATTCGTAGGCTGATGCAGACAGATAAGCTGAAGCAACTTCGACAAACTGTGAAAGTAAGATTGTTGCAAATCATTTGTACTTCACTTGTGAGCTGTCAAGATTAGTTCAGAATTTAGCCAGATCAAACATTTTTTAGTCACTGTAATATTGGCAATTTTAGAAGTCTGATCATTACTCTTACTTAGATAATTTTATAAATAATATGTAAATTAAGTAATTTGTATATTTTTGTCTCACTTTAAACTGAGTGCTGTTTGACATCTAATAAGTAATAGTTTTCTTTATTTAGTGCAATGGACCCTTTGTATCCATTCCGCTTCTGTGGATTCTGCATGTGTGGATTCAACCAACCATGGATCAAAATATTTGGGAAAAAAAAATAATGGTCATATCTGTACTGAACATGTGTAGACTTTCTTGTCATCATTCCCTAAACAATACATATAACAACTACTTACATAACATTTACATTGTATTATGTATCATAACTGATCTAGAGATGATTTAAGATATTCAGGAGTATGTTAATAAGTTATGTGCAAATACGGCACCATTTTATAAAAAGGACTTGAGTGTCCTCAGATTTTGGTATTCTTGAGGTTCTTGGAAGCAGTCTTCCATGGAGACTGAGGAATGACTGACCAAAAGAAAACAAGGAAACTCCAGTGATCATAAATCCTTTTAGAAAAATGTTTTTGAAGGAGCATTTCTCTTTTCAGGATACTATGGAATTTATAAGAAGTTTTCAGTCAGAAGCACCATTAAAGAGAGGCGTTGTTTCAGCACAAGATGCTTCACTTCAGGAAAGAGTGTTAGCTCAGGTAAATGCATGTATCTCAAAGGCTTTTAAGAAATGGAAATTCTGTATTTCTCTCTTTTCATTCAATCTCTGAAAATAGGTTTCAGTGAAAACTACTGTAATCTTTTTCTATAAATAAAAGAAGTAGGTATATAGTATATATAGTAATACTGAACTCTAACTTGATCTTTTAAATGCATACAATATTTTCTTTTGAACCTAGCTGAGAGCTGCCCTGTATGGTATTCATGACATATTCTTTGTAATGGATGCAGCTGAAAGAATGTCTATTCTACATCATGATCGAGAAGCTCGCAAAGAGAAAATGCTCAGGCAAATGGTATATGATTTTTTAATGAATGGGGTTCTTTTGGGCTTAGGGTAATTGACACAAAATATCATTTTTTATTGACTTCAGCACCCATCTGACAATTCTTAAGCATATTTCCTACTAGCAATATTTAAATCTGTAGATAGGTTTAAAAGAATTACATAGTGAAAGAATTACTATTGTTTTGTGATTGGATTTTGGAGTTGAATCTTTGAATGTTTTGCTTGGGTGACTTATAAAAAACTCTCAGCTGCTCCTGATTGAATTTTCTTGAAATTATAATGTGGGTTTTGCCTTTTTTTGAAATTATAATTAGAAAACAGGCTCCAAATTTGAAATATATCAGAGTGTTGGTGGTCTCTGATTTGAATCAATGATCTTAGTATGAATGGCAAAAGAAAAACAAACAAAATTGATATAATTTTAATTATTTAATTCTTAGAATCAGACTGCTTCAAGTATAAAAGAGTACTAAGTTAACTAAGTTAAAAATATTAGTAAAGAGAAGCTTTTTCAGGCAATTTGGGATCATTCTTTGTTATAATACAGGGGAATAATTGGCTCCAGTAGAATTTTATGTTACTTTTGCATTTTAAAGGATAAAATGAGAAGCCCACGAGTGGCTCTTTCAGCTGCAACACAGAAGTCTCTGGATAGGAAGAAATACATGAAGTAAGTTTTTTTGTATCATGTCATGTTAATTATTATCAAACGAATTAATTTTAGTTATCTGTTGGTCTATTTGCATATTCAAATTAGAAATAAAGAACCGCTAACTTTTTCTGCACTTGAGCTGATAGGAATTCCTTTTTATATAAGGACATTCATTAAAATCAGGTGCTAGAATCTAATTTTATCTTTAGATAAATTTTTTAATTACCAAATTTGTCTACATTTATCTTATAAATTGATAGCCCATCAAACAACCTTAGAAATAGTTAATCCTTATATTCAGTGCTTAATTTTATCTTTCAAATGTATTCTTTTCTGATATCCTAAAGATATCCTGGAAAGAAAAACTTAATGGGAAGAATATTTTAATGACTATCTTTTTAAAAATTCTTCTTTCTTGAAAATAGTCTTGAATACGCTTATTACAAAGCTTCTAACTGATGAATTGTTTCTGTCATCCCTTGTTACTTTTGTAAGCATGTTTTTTTCTCTTCTCTAAATACCTTGTGTCCTTATTTTTATGTTGTGTTAGAGCTGCTGAAATGGGAATGCCAAATAAGAAATTTCTGGTTAAACAAAATCCTTCTGAAACAAGGTGAGAAAAATCACTAGTCCAGTGAGGGGCGTTTTTTAAATAAATTTTTTATAAATCCTGAGCTTCCTTTCTGTTGACCTTGTTCTATTTACATCAGAAGAACAATCTTTGCTGAGTTTGAGGATCTCAGGTCCAGAATTCCTATTAACACCTGGTTATATTCTTGGTCACATGTCAGACCAGATGTTCCTGGAGCTTTTTGTAGGACATGCTGTCTGTGGTAGAAATTTGAGCCTGATATGTTGTGAGTTCAAGGGGATCTTTGATACCTATTTAAAAACCTTAGAAAGCTAATTTAAGCTGGGCGCAGTGGTGTGAGCCTGTAATCTCAGCTGTTCAGGAGGATGGCTTGAGCCCAGATGTTCGTGACCAGTCTGAGCAACATAATGAGACCTCATCTCTTTTAAAAAAAACAAAAAACAGCTAACTTAATATTTCTGACTTGTTTTTTACTCTTGTAAAACGAGAGTAATACTTTGTTCTCTGACATGTTTGAAAGGAAACGTTGGCTTTTGTAAAGTACGATTATATATAAGACCATTATCTGAAAGCACAAGGGTTAATGCCTATGTTGGACCTCTCTTTCCTGATAAAAATCTAAGATTTGGGTTCTTGGTAAGCAAAATATAAGTACCATATTAATATGTTTTAATCAACTTGCTTTGCTTTGTGTAATATATTGGCTATATTATTGCATAGATGACTCCACCTCACTATCACCATCTTTCATCCATTGCAAGAAAATGGGAAAAAATAGAATCTATCCTTTTGAATTAATTTTTTATTTAATTTGTCAACAGAGTCCTTCAGCCAAATCAAGGACAGAATGCACCTGTTCACAGGCTACTTAGTAGACAAGGGTAAGAGTGCCACACTCACGGGTATTTAAAAATATTCAAATCAAGAAATCAGGATTAGCTTTGAAAGGGAAAAATAGTGTTGTTGTTTACATAAAGGATAATTATTTTTCAAATTTGATTTTTTTTTTCCTTTTTGTTTTTTTTGAGTCGGAGTCTCACTCTGTCACCCAGAATGGAGTGCAGTGGCACGCTCACGGCCACCACAGCCTTGACCTGCTGGGCTCAGGCGATCCTTCTACCTCAGCTATCAAAGTAGCTGGAACTACATACAGGCACATGTACCACCATGCCTGGATAATTTTTTGATTTATTGTAGAGACGAGGTCTCACCAAGTTGCCCAAGCTAAGCTGGTCTCAAACCCCTGGGCTCAGGCAATCCTCTCGCCTCTGCCTCCCAAAGTTCTGGGATTACAGATGTGAGCCACTGCGCCTGACTCAAATGTGATTTTTTTTTTATAGCATTGGGAAGATCTTTTAAAATTTTGTCTTCAACTATGATCCTCTTGGTGTACTGTTGTGTATTATATTTTAATTATCATCTTATATTGGCATGTGTTTACTTTTCATTTCATACCATTTTACTCATTAAATGTTTTAAATATCCATATAGTAAGTTCAGCATCACCAGAGTGATTCTCCAACAAAGCATGAGCCATGGTTTAGTCTGCTGAAGCCAAAGTCCAGCTTTCCTTCCCATGCACATGCATGAGACTACGTTCTTTTTAAACTTATTGGTGATTTGGACAGTTGATGTAGTATGGTTGCTTTCTTTGAATTTTGAACATTTAGACCTTAATGCAAGTGACTTATTAATTTTTTTATATTCAACTAGAACCCCTAAGACAGCAGTGAAGGGGGTTGTGCAAAATAGACAGAAGTCTTCACAGAGCAGAATGCCTAGCAGAGCTCCTGTGTCAGGTGTGTTGAATGAATTCCTGAAGCTCCTTCAATAGAAAGAGTGCACAAGCTGCCCTGTAACTCAGGCCACACAAGTGGAATACGTTGTCTTTCCTTGCCACCATAATTTTGGCATATTCTTGGTCATCCTACTAATATTCCTTGGTGTCAGTATTTTGTGGCAGTCAGAAAATCTTAGTAAAACTGCTTCCCATCTCGATTTCTGTAACATTTCTATGGAAAATGCTTTGTATTTTTTATTCCAAAAAAATGTATAGAATTATCCAGACTTAATTCAGAAAACTATTCATGAGTAAAAAATAATGATTATCTGGTGCCTAAATCTTTGCCTTGTCTCTTCAGCTTTGAGGAAGTGTGTCACCCAGGAATATTTCTGTCTGCACAGGAGGGGATGTAAACTTCCTCCTCTGACCACAAGTTCACATGTGAATATGCCAGGTGGGCAGGGGTCTCAATCTTTTCTTCCACAAGAGGTTTGAGCTACATTTCTCCTCATGTTCATTATTTGAGGGTTATTTAAGAGCTAAACCAAAAGCTGTATTTTAAAATTCTGTTTATGGTGGCAAGATGACATTCAATGTCGAGTTAATCCAAAGTTCCTAACAAAATGCTTGAATATTTTTTAGGTATCTTTGTTAAGATACTTGATTAAGCACATTTAAAATTATGTGATCCATTAAAATACTTTCAAAGTGTTGTGCTTTAATTATACTGCTTTCTAAACATTTTGAATAATCCTAAATTAATCACCTGACAATGAAGATTAAACCCTTAATCAATTATAATCTTTCCATTAATACACAATTAGGCAAATTTTAGAGATTTTATTACTAAGTGATTTCCTTTCAATGAGAAGAAAACAAGCTATTAATCATAACTTTGAAATGATTGCTGACCTTGTGTGTATGCAGTGAATATAATTAATAATGTCAGGATAATAGGATAATTTAAAGGTCACCTTTTGGAAATCACTGTGAGTGACAGTCAATGGAATTGTTGTAAAAGGAATTAGATAGTTGAAGATCCTGCCTACTGCAGAGCCATGAGAATCAGCTAGTGTGAAAGAACCATTGGAAGAACACAGACCAGTCACCTGATATGAGGAATTTAAAGATATTTTCAGTGTTTCCCATGTTAATGTTAATGTACCATGATACATCAGAAGCTCATTGAAGAATGAGTATTGTTTTGCCTTATATTATTAGTTTGCCACAGTAACTACTCTCCATGTTCTTTTCTCATGCATTTCATCTCCACTATTTGTCGCTTGTGAATTTACAAGCAAAATAGCAACTGCTATTTCTATTCAGTAATACTCAACAGTACATAGGATGAACAGGCAACCACTGACGTTACCTAACAGTGGCATTCAGCATTTAGAACTATTGAGGTTTAATTGCATTGCTACATAGTTAATACAAATGAACTTAACCCTTGAATTAACATGTACAATTAATATGTCTAAACAAGTACAAAAATTCTTTTGTTTTTTCTAAAGATTTATTTATATATGAGTACATATGGAGACAACTGAAAGAGACTAAAGGATTGTTTTCTTTTAAATAAACTGAGATCTTGAGGAACTTATTGTTTAAAATACTGAGTGTGTTGGAACACAGGAATCTGTAGCTGCTCTTGAAGAGTCACGGTATTCTTTCCTGCTGAGATCTGTAATGGCCTGGATTATGTTTCAAATAAATTTGGAATTATGCTTTAATTTGCTTTACATGGAGATAAACCCTTTGTTAGGTAATTTATAGAAAACTCATTTTTGTTATGGTGATATAATATCATACTCTAAATGAATTCTAAGATGTTAAAGTATACTAAAAGCATTTAAATTATTTATAGTTTTATAAACCAAATTGCAATCTCTGATGTCATGTTTTACAATAGATTTATTCATTTGATGTTCTGTGCTTAAATCGAGTTTATAGTGACATTCAGAAACCACCAATCAAAGCAGAGTAGGAGGTGGTTATGCAAAGTGGTCGTGTAAAATAGCAAATCAGGTGGAATTGGATTCTCAGGGTTTCTACTTTAGCTGGCCCCTTAGGCAAGTACTTTCCTAGCCCCAGCTGCATTATCCTTAAAATGATAGTAATAATTTCTACTTCAGGATTATTACATTTAATATGATAACGTATATTGTTTAGCACAGTGCTTGATACATTGTAAGGACTCATGGTATCATTATAGAAAACTACCATTGAGAAATAATATTAGTTTTGCTCTATTTTTAGGAGTATATGCAGGAAAAATCCAAAGAAAGCGGCCAAATGTTGCGACAATTTAAGAAGACAACATTCATTGGGATAAAAATGGAGGGAGAATTATTATCCATGTTATTTTCCCTGTTCAAGACTTTTTATTTAATCCTGAACTCTCGTTTATTCAGTCAAAGTGAAATCAAAAGGCTGAGCAAGATAACTTAGTTATTCTGCTAATTTCTGCCCAACACCCCCATTTTCCTCTTAATAATAAGTTTGGGTGAAGACAAATTAGTGTTTAGGAATTATCTCATCTCTGTGCTCAACCTGTACAAACATAAGTTTGTTTTATGTGCTCAGACATCTCCAGAGACCCTTTTTGTAAACTTAAAGAACATTTGGATTTATTTTTACAAAATATTGAAAGGGTGTGACAAAATTATAAATATGTTCTAAAACATAAATTTCATTTATCTATGTATACTGATTGCTTAATTTGATAAATGAATTTGTACTATTCAAAGGGAAATTATTGCAGAAGAATGCTTTTCTGTGGTTATATAACTTTAAAAACTCGATTTAGTCTCTCAATGCTCACATTCCTTGACTTACAGGTATAACGTACAGGTGATCACATCCACCTAAAATCTACCACAGAAGTAGCTGTGGGTAACCATTTTGGTCAGAAGTATACATTCCTGTCTTACAGAAATGTTGTCTTACAGAAATGTTCATTTTCATGTGTGTTACCCTAGTACTGTTAGAAACATTTGGACTAGATTTTAAGATCTCTCTGTGAAGGGTAACATATTTGGGGAAGACAGCACAGTCTTTTTGAATGTAGCACTAAAGATTGCATTATTACACCCATTCTGTAAAATAAGAGTAACATGTTGCATGCACCTATATTTTCTATGTAGTCTATATAATCTGTTTTTTCATAGTCTGCTTTTTCTAGCATGCTTGATCTAGGAGAGAATAAAGGGCTATATAATAATACATTCGGATTTCAAATGGGATAGTAGTATTGCCTAGTTAAAATTCTGCATTGCTTAAAGGCACCAATATTTAAGTTTTTTCACCACTAACATATTCATTAAAAGAATCAACTAACAAATGTTACCAAGAGAACATGACTCTATGAAAGAGAATGTTACTGTTAATTTATCATACCATTTCCAAAAAGGGCTTTGTGCTTCTCATGTATAATTGGGACTTGTGTATACTTTATCTTTCTAACCTGAATTTTAAGAGAGATTCTGGTATTTTGAAAATGTAGCCTAGATATATTCTAAATATCCTTTTAAGAATGTGGAGAGACTGTTTTCTCCAATTTTCTGTTCCATTCAAAATTTAACTTTTACATCCAACTGTAGACCGAAAATAGCTATCTACCCTGAGTGTAAGCTGGATTTTCTTTATTGAGATATATCATGTATTGAATGAGTGAATCTGAAAATTAGAAGACGGAGTTCCAATTTTTTAATTTATAGGCAAAGTAAATCACATTATTATCTTCATATGATAAACTGCTTTATCATTCTGAAAACTCAGGTTATTATTACTCATATCATTGTGGGTCTCCCAGCAAGCAAGAAAGATGAAGTCTTGTGTATACTAATGCAAATTACCTGAAACAAATACTATGTTTTGGAGAAAATTAAGACAAGTTTTAGATTAAGGATTAGCAACTCGAGTGTGTTTTTAATTTAATAATAAAAGCGTGTGTGTTTTAAATATTTTTTAATGTTCACAGCTTTTGCTCATTCAAGTGCCAGGCACTGTTTTGTGCTTTTGATGGATTTTTATTTATATACATTATTTTTATCATTATTTTTACTTTGAGTGGAATGTCCATTAATGTAAATTTTATTTATTTTTATACTTTAATTTTCACTAGTTTTGCTTCTAGGCAAAAGGCAAAATAAACTTTTCATCTTAAAGGAAATCTAGTTTGGTGTTTTTTATTTACCAAGGAAAGGATTATTAAGAAATAGATATTGAAAAGTATCTGGTCAAAGCAATATTGTAATTGGCCATGTTTTACAACTGAAAGTTCCATGAAAGGTATATCCCCTTATTTAATATGTCACCTATTCAGTGCTTAGTCCAGCATTTGAGTTTATAAGAGTTGGACTTTTTTTTTTTTTAAGTTCGAGTCTCTGTCACCCAGGCTGGAGGGCAGTAGCACGCTTACAGCCACTGCAGCCTTGATCTGCTGGGCTCAGGTGATCCTTCCGCCTCAGCCTTCCAAGTAGCTGGAACTACAGACACGTGCCACCATGTTCGGCTAATTTTTTTTTACTTATTGTAGAGATGAGGTCTCGCCAAGTTGCGCAGGTTGGTCTCAAATTTGTGGGTTTAGGCAATCCTCTCACCTTGGCTTCCCAAAGTGCCGGGATTATAGGCATGAACCACCATGTGTGGCGAGTTGGACTTTTCAGAAGACAAAACTGGGCCGGATACAGTGGCTCATGCCTATAATCCCAGCACTTTGGGAGGCTGAGGTGGGAGGATTGCTTGGCCCAGGAGTTCAAGGCTAGCCTAAGCAACATACAAGGAGGAACCCCAAAAAACCTGGAATTTATAAAAAATCATGTATTCTTTCATGCTTAAACTTCAGTCACCTTCAGAGTACTGTTTGATGCAATACACCTATTGAGACGTTTTTTCGACTGCTCAAAACAGTTTTTGAACTTACCAATTTTGCTTCTGCTGTTTTTGTTTCCTCTCTTCCACATCAGCAAAATGTTTCCCTTTGAGGACTTTTTTCATCTGGGGAAAACTCGGGGCGAGATTGGGTGAATAGGGAGGATGGGGCACAGGGGTCATGCTGTTTTTGGTCAAAAACTGCTGATCACTCAGTGCAGTGCAGTCAGGTGTACTAGTAAATCGCCAACTGTGAAATGGGCAAACACATTGATAGAATCTCAACAACAACAACAAAAATTCACTGAAGCCAAACACAGCCTCTCACAATGCTAGCTGGTACACTGATGCTGATGGGTTCCTAGAACACTTACCTAGCGGGGGAAGCCTAGGGGGAAAGAGGCCCACTTTCCAAACGATTCCAGGTTTTATATATATAAATAATATTTTTAAAAAAGATATATATATATAAATAATATTTTTTAAAAACTTCTCTAGAGCTGGAAACAGCTTATGAAAAGCCAGAAGCTAGCTGAGGAGCAGGAGGGGAAATTGAGGCAGAAGGGAGCCAATGCTAAGGCTATGGTGCACATTAGAGCTGCCAGTTGCCACAGCTTTAGGAACCCTGACCTGTCGCTGCCTACTCCTCATCTGCTGTGACTGTGACTCCCTGTGGAGATGTTGCATCTGATCATCTGCCTGGCTGTGTGGCAAGAGCCTTGCCTTCCTGTGGTTACCCTCACCTCCTTCTCACTTCCTGCGTTGGGAATAGTGGCTGTGACTGGACACTTTATTACTGTGCTGAGCTGAAAACTGAAGGGTTGTAGGGCGTGTTGACTCACGCCTGTAATCCCAGCATCTTGGGAGGCTGAGGCAAGAGGACTGCCCGAGTCCAGGGGTTTGAGACCGCCTGGGCAACTTGGTGAGACCTCATCTCTACAATAAATCAAAAAATTAGCTGGATGTGGTGGTGCATAACTGTGGTTCCAGCTACTTGGAAGGATGAGGCAGAAGGCTCACCTAAGTCCAACAGGTTGAGGCTGTGGTGGCCTTGAACGTGCCACTACACTCCAGCCTGGGTGACAGATTGAGACTCTGACTCAAAATAAACAAACAAAAACCCTGAAGGGCCCATTCTGGGGTTAAAAATTCGTTTTTCTCTGTCAGAGGTCACTGTCGCATGAACCACAGACCACCTCCCCCAACTGAAAAAATAAAGAGATTAAGAAAATGGCACTGGAACGCTTTATTTCTAAAGGCCCAGATGGACATTTATGTAAGTTATATAAAGAAAAACAAACACCCATATATACATGAGAGACCTTCAGTTACTGAATACAGCAAGTCAACCTGGGATATAGTTTGATGAAATCACATCACTGGTCAGGGAACCACCAAGGGCAAATGTCACATCCGACCAAAGTTATACCTGACAGTATTTTATGTGTTTCTCTATAACCCTCAATTCTTCATTTTCTCAAGGATGTAGACAGAGTTGCCACCAGAACCATGGTTTTGCTTCTCAGGATGGGGGAAATGCCTTAATTCACACTTTCCATAAGGTAAACAGCCTGTTTCAGGTTTCCTTCCATGATGGGATTCCTGCACTGATAAAGCGGACTTGGTTGAATGTGCTTAAGAGCACAAGATATGACTCTGCCTTAGCTCTTGAGGTACATGTACCCTCCCACCCCCAACAAGGGGCCAGCAGCAGCAGCACTCCTGGGAACTTGTAAGAAATGCACAAGCCTCCAGTAGGGTGGCTCGCCCCTGTAATCCCAGCATTTTGGGAACCCAAGTGGGAAGATCGCTTGAGCACAGGAGTTCGAGAAAACACGGAGACCTCTCTCTACAAAAATAAAAAAAATTAGGCGTGGGGGTGGAAGCCTGTAGTCCCAGGAGGTCAAGGCTGCAGTGAGCCATGATTGTGCACTCCAGTACCTACCTGCCCAATAAATAAATACATAAATACATTAAAACATAATAACAAATACAGAAGCCCAGGCCCACCACAGATCTAAGAGCCTGCCTTCTTCTTCTTCTTTTTTTTTTTTTTTTTTGAGTTGGAGTTTCACTCTGTCACCCAGACTGGAGTGCAGAGGCACACTCACGGTCCACCTCAGCCTTCCAAGTAGCTGGAACCACAGCCATGTGCCACCACGCCCGACTAATTTTTTTTGGGGGGGGTTATTGTAGAGACAAGGTGTCGCCATGTTGCTCATGCTGGTCTCGAACTCCTGAGCTCAGGCAAACCTCTCGCCTCTTTCTCCCAAAATGCTGGGATTACAGCCGTGAGCCACTGCGCCCAGCAGGAGCCCGCCTTTTAATAAGGTCCGCAGTTGCAGAGAGAAAGCTCTGGAAGCACAAAGGCCGCAGAAGTAAAGGGAGAGTCTGGCAATCCTCTCCCTTCACCTCAAGTCAGAATTACCCTGATATTGAGGGTGAGGAGGCTCGGCTCAGCGTGCAACCTACACTCGGGCCGAAGGTGTGTGCAGAGGTCTTTTCCGGGGAGCGCGTGAGGATCTGGATCCTGGCCTCTTTCAGTCAGAAAGGACCCCTTCCCGGAGCAAGCTAGGCTCAGGTGCCGCCTCGTGATTGGCCGAGCCACCTCCACGACTGCCGGGAGCTCCCGCTGTGGGTCGGAATCCCCGGTCAGGCACTTACTCCCAGTTTTGGGCAATTCACACTCTTTCGAGCTTCAGTTTCTTAAGATATTTATCCCAGAGGTTTGTAGTGAGGAGGACATGGAGGGCCCACGCCAGGTGCTCAGCACAGTGCCCCGCACACATGGAAGCACTCTGGAGATAGCCTACGATTATCCACGTTTTAAAAAGAGAAAACCTTCACGCCTGTAATCCCAGCACTTTGGGAGACAGAGACGAGAGAATTACCTGAGTTGAGGGGTTTGACACCAGCCTGGGCAACTTGGCAAGACCTCGTCTCTACAATTAACTTTAAAAAATAGCTGGGAGGCATTTGAGACCAGTCTGGGCAACGTAATGAGACCCCAGTCTCTAAAAAAACAAAAAAATTAGCCAAGCATGGTGGTGCACCCCTGTAGTCCCAGCTGCTCAGGAGGCGGAGGTGGGAGTATCACTTAAGCCTAGGAGGTTGGGCTGCAATGAGGCAGGTTCACACCACAGTACTCCAGCCTAGGAAACAGGGCAAGGCCTTGTCTCAAACACATATATATACATATATAAGAAAGTAGATCTTATAGAATGTATGAAGAAATCTCAAAACTCGTCAAAAAATCCAATGAAAGAAAAATTAGCCGGGCGTGGTGGCGCACGCCTGTAATCCCAGCACTTTGGAAGGTGGAGGCGAGAGGATTGCCTGCACCCAGGGGCTCGAGACCAGACCGGACAACTTGGTGAGACCTCGTCTCTACAATAAATCAAAAACTAGCCAGACGTGGTAGCGCACGCCTGTAGTTCTGGCTACTTGGAAGGCTGAGGTGGAAGGATCGCGAGAGCCCAGCAGGTCGACGCTGGGGTGGCCGACAGCGTGCCACAGACTGGCCAGGGGGACGAGACGCTGACCCCGCCTCCCCAAGTAGTTTCGCCCCCGTTAACCGCGTTTGGATCCAGCACAGTCCTTGGACCCCCGGCCCCCAGCGCGGGGCGTGGGAGGGGTCGCGGGACGCGCCCTCCCTCCGGCTGCGGCGGGGAGGGCGGTGGCCTGGCGAGGGGCGGGGCTTGTCCACGCCAGGCTGCGGATGAGCCGCAAGCCACGTTCGCGGAGCCCCAGCCCCACGTCCACCCCCCGCCGGGTTCGCGTCTTC